TATCAAAGGAAGGGTAAAAGAAAGCAGGAAATAGAGTTTATAAAAATAGTCAAATTAGAAAGAAAATGAAGAAGATTCATCCACTCTATTTGATGGCCTAAGAGATCATTGGAAATTACCTGAGTTGGGACAGGAGAGAAAAGTAAAGATGGGAACATGACCTTAATGGAGGAGTGCTAGGGACAAGAGAGGGTTGCAGCCCTAGCCGGGTAGCTCAGCTGGTTAGAGCATCATCCAATATGCCAAGATTGCTGGTTCCATATAGAAACAGGACACAAATAAGAATTAACCCATGAATGCATAATTCAGTGGAACAACAAATCAATATTTCTCTTTCTCTCTCAAATCAATAAATACTTTTTTTAAAAAGAGAGAGAGAGAGAGGGTTGCAGTGGGCATTGTGAAGAGTAGGTTGGCATCAGACATTGTCCCTTAGACTTTAGTACTGGGAATTCACAAGAAAGCTAGGCAAAGATCTGCAGACCATATGTCATTGCTTGTAACCTCTGCAAGACTAATTGTTGTGGGGTGTGAGCTCATGACTTCAAATCACCATTACATCATCCAGAAGAACAATCACCCAAACTCAAACACTTGGCTAACCCTCATCTGAATCGTTCTTGTTTTTCTAATGACTCAGGACATTTGTAAGAACTTCTAACAAAGATGATAGACTTTACACCCAGAGGAGTGGTGGCAGTGAGGGAAAGAAAAACTTGGCGTCTGTGCTTGGGTAATGTGGGACAACATCCTCCCATATATATGCCATGATACAAGAACTATTAACTAATGGTCTCATGCCACTTAAGTTGCCTCACTTGAAGATTTTTAACATAAGGCAAAGAGAAAGTGTGCACATATATGACTAGGTCGGATAATCTAGTGAGAACACACAGTATTATTAGATAAGTAGTCTAGAACTAGGTTAAATCTGTGCTCCATAAATGTTGACCTAGACAAAGAACCACAACCCCCACTTCCCACTCCATGCAACCTTTCCCCTAACAAACTTTGTTCAGTTATTGATATTGATATGGAAAAGGAAAAGGGGGAAGATATTTATAATAACATTGGATAGGGTTGGAGTGGGAATGGGGGTTGATGGCTGATGTAGAGGAAGTGATGTCAATGACAACAACAGGAATAAAGAAAATAATAATAAAAGCTTCTATTTCTGCAAAAAAAAAGTAGGCCTGTACTTCACAAATATCATGGCTGTGAAAGACAAAGGAAGGTGGTAGAACTCTTCCAGATTAAAAGGACCTAAAACAACGTAGCCATCAAAGGCGTTGAAAGAGCCTGACCTGGATCTTGATCAGGGGAAAATGTCTTGAATGATGTTATTGGGACAGCTGTCAAAAACTGAATGAAAAAAGTATTTTAGGTAATATTTTATCATTGTCCAATTGCCTTAATTTGATAATTGTACATTAGTAAGAGAATGTTGTTCTATGAAGTTCTATAAGCTGAATTTTTTAGAGGTAAAGGAAAATGCTGTCTACAACTTTTAAGAATCATTAAAAGGAAGCTTTTCAGGCCTCTGGGAGTAGAGTGGGTGGTTTCTGAGAGACCCTGAAGGGCCACCTGCCAAGATGAAGGATTTAGTATCTAACTCTTATCTGTCATCTTTGTAATGGCCCAGGGAACACACTGGGGATGGTGATAAGGAAGAGAAAGCTGGAAGCTTCAGTAAAGTGTTGGGAAAGGGCAAAGAGATATAAGCCCAAACCTTCCCTGAGATGAACCAGAATAGGTTTCTATCATGCTGTCCACCAGAATATTTTTCTCCAGGGCTGCTGGGGTCCCAAAGGAGGCAGATGTGAAGCAGAAACCAGTGGAAGATAAACTGGAGACTGTGCAGAGATCAGTGGTCCTATTGCAAGTGACCAAACACTGGAATTGCCCACTGACAAACATTTGAGCCATTGCTAATGACAGTTGCGTGAAGGCTGCACCTATGCAGCTTAAGCCTAGAAAAGCTTACGGAAAGCTCAGAAAAACTCTTGAGGGGCTTATGAACTTTTTAAAAAGTTCTCTCTTAAACATATATAGAGAGAAATAGATATCCAACATAAAATTTATTTTCAGAGAAGTTATGCTAAAAAATATAGAATGGTTGTTTTTAAAAAACTAAAATGATTTTAACAGTTCTAAGAATTAATGAAGTAAATCACTCTAATTCTCTCTTTTAGAATATATCTCTTGGCAAAGCAAAGTCTGAAAAATAGGGGAGGGGAGGAGGAGCCCTTTGCACCATGGCTTGGTTCTCTATCATAATTCTGTTTGGGCAAAGAGGCTCCCTCACCAGTGCTGGCCAGCAGCCCTCAGAGGCTCAGATAAACACTGACTCCTAAGGAATTTATCAGCTGCTTAGGGAGTGAGCTGAGCTTGATGGGACCTGGCACAGGTGTGGGTATCATTAACTTCAGTAAGGTCTTTAGACAGACAGGACATAAGTGCTCCAAGGCTGCTCAGTAGCACCAGTGGGCATATGAAGAAAAGGGAAAATAGTAGTGGTGGACAGTATTACTTTTCCTTCTCTAGAAAAATGTCCTCAGTTCCTTTCAATTCTGCTACTGTTGGGGGCGGGAGCGGGGAGAGGTTACTTATTGTTGTGAGTTCTTTTGGATATATGAAGACTATTCTTTTCTTTAAAAATATATTTTTATTGAATTCAGAGAGGAAGGGAGAGGGAGAAAGAGAGATAGAAACACCAAGGATGAGAGAATCATTGATCAGCTGCCTCTTGCACACCCCACACTGGGGACCGAGCTCACAGCCCAGGCATGTGCCCTTGACCAGGAATCGAACCGTGACCTCCAGGTTCATAGGTACATGCTCAACCACTGAGTCAAGCCAGCCGAGCTGAAAACTATTCTTGATAGCAGAATTTAAGTGTTCTACTATATATGTTAGGAAAGGGTATTTTATAAACAAATGATTGAGTGCTCCTGTCTTATCACTTACAAATCCATTTCTTTTCTGAAAACAAATCTTAATAACTAATGAGTGGACATTATTAACAAAGAATGTCTGGCCGAAACCGGTTTGGCTCAGCGGATAGAGCGTCGGCCTGCGGACTGAAAGGTCCCAGGTTCGATTCCGGTCAAGGGCATGTACCTTGGTTGTGGGCATATCCCCAGTAGGAGATGTGCAGGAGGCATCTGATCGATGTTTCTCTCTCATCGATGTTTCTAACTCTCTATCTCTCTCCCTTCCTCTCTGTAAAAAATCAATAAAATATATTTTAAAAAAAGAAAAAAGAATGTCTGCTAATTGTACCATATACCCAGAACATCTCAATTTTATGCCTATTTCTTATAAAGCAAAGGAAGGTAATGTTTAGGAAATGTTATGTGTTCAAGGCAAGTATTTTTATTTTTTGATGGAAGAGATCTGAGCAGGCATCAGCCACAGGCAGGAGTCAATTGAAAGGGTTAGATAGATGATATTGGTGAAAGGGAAAATAATCATATTAATAGAAAAAAATCCAGAAGAAATACAGTTCATAATTTTGAAGCACATGTGGAGGAATTAGCCAAGAATAATGAGAGACACTTTGAATTGTGTTCCACAAGATGGACATGGTGACCACGGAGGCACAGTTTTCTGTAGACGTCTGTGTTCTCTGTGACTAATAGGGAGTGCTGCTGCAGATAGCGAAGCCAGTGTGAGGAGTGCCGCACGTAGCAGGTGAGGGGAATGGGAGAGGTGGCTGGCCAAGTTAAATATTGGCATTTTGTTAAAGGGACATTGTAATTTATTTAATCTCTAAACTTTAAAACAACCAATGCTCCTTAGAAAAACTTAGATTATGAGTTTCCTTTGTACAACTAAGATTTTGTAAGTTTCCCCCCAGCTTTTAGACTTTATGCCATTCTACAATACTTACCCCAAATGTTTATACCTGACTTCAGACATCCCAGTTTTTTTGTTTGTAGTTCCACACTGACACCTCTAATTGGCTTTCACATACCAAATTCAAGCTAACGCAAGTTATTTCCTGGTGCCACTTTCTGCAACCCAAGAGCTCCTTTTTACAGTGTCATCATCTCTATCAGATCATTTACAGTTTTTGGCTTAATGATTTAAATATTTTAATGGTTAGTGCTGTTTTTGAATTTTTATAAAATGAATGGACTATAGAAAAATAAGTGACTTCACTAGTCTTAAAAGTAATAATTCTTATTAAATGACGACAATGAAATAAAGTGGAAAAAGTTAGTTTTTTTTAAAGTGAAACTTTGACCATCAATTGCATTTAATTTGACTTCAGCCAGTCAACTTATTAATTTTGAGTAAATTAATAAGATGAAGTACAGGCACAAAATATTAGAGATATATAATCAAAAATTGTGTCTTAAGAAGGAGATAGAGTTAATGGATTTTTATTTTGAGTTAATTTTATATTTACATCAGTTGCAAGAAGTAGTACAAAGAAATCCAGTGCATTTTTTTTTTACCAAGTTTCCCATAATAATAACATTTTGCTCTTTTCTACAAAATTTCACCAGTAAATGGACAGTGGTACAATCCACTGGCATTATTCAAATGTCACTATTCCTCATAGTTAATGGATTTTATAATCCTTTTTAAAAAACTATCTAAAAATGAACTATTCCAAATGTAACATAAGCTATGGAAAGTTTTGATGTTTTCCTTTATCTCTTTTCAGAAATGCATTTTTGAAAGAGTATGAAATGACTTGATCTTGAATTTTTTCTAACATCCTTCCAACTGAAGACTTTGCCATTTCAGAATTTATTTTGTAAATTACACCTATGCATTTCTGTATTGGAAATAAGAATAGTCAGCAAGATTAATGTTACTTATAGGTGTTGCCTTCAAGAAAGTAATTTATTAATAAGTTAGGGGGATAGGATAAACTTAGAGTAGCATATCATTTGTTTAATTATTTAACATACTTAATGTATAGTTTACCCATTCTTTGTGATAACTTTGTTTGTCTGTTTATATTTGTAAAACGTGCTTTTTTGTTTCATTGTACTAGGATAGAATGGGACACCTCAGTAGCTGCTGAAGCTAATACATTTCTATCACCACAATTACTTTAGCAAACCTGGTTCCCCTCACACCTGCAACATAGTGCAGAGTTAGTCATCAGTGTGCGCTAGAAAACATTATTTCCTTTGGTACAAGCCATATGTAAATGGATATAAAATAAACTACAAAACACCAGATTGAAATAGTGTGGGGAGCCTTGGCCAGTATGACCTCGGTTGGTTGAACATTGTGCACCAAATGTCGCTAGTTCAATTCCAGTCAGAGCATAGATGGAGTGTGTATGGGAGGCAACTGATTAATAATGTTTCTCTCTCCCTATCCCTCTTTCTTCCCCCCTTTCTCTCTAAAATGAATTAAAAATAAAAATAGTGTGGGGAGATATTTGGCAGTCTGAAATAGTAAGTAACATACGATGATGGGGGTGGAGGAGTACAATTCAGGTAACAAACCCAAATTATTCTTTTTCCAGGAGAAATCCTGAGTAATCATTACAATCTATTGTAATTCTGAACTGAAGTACTAAGAGAAAAGACTTAATTTTAAAGGAATGTAGCAGCAATTTACAATTTACAGAGTATGTTGAAAATGCATGTATGGTAGATGGAGATACTGAACCTAAAGTGTGAACTTGGGAAAAATATGAAACCCTGACACAAAATCCTTATGATTCAAAAGCACAAGGCTGGACTATGGAATGATATGTAGTCATAAGAGGATCATTGGACAACATAGAACCAGATGACTATAGAACAAGCAGATGTGCTGAGGCAAGTATAGAGATTCAGTGCCTACATTGTGACATACAAAGAAAGAAAAATCTCTAACAGAATAGTGCTTGAATAAGGACTGATAGAAATGTAATTATAGGTTTCTAAGCAGAGCATTATGCTGTCAATTCAGATATCAGCATGCCTATTTTCAAGAAAAAACACCAAGAAAGAAAATATCCTAAAAGCTTTCATCAGCTATAATCTTGACTTTTTCAAAGGAAAAAAAAAAAGAACCTATTTTCTCAATACTGGTATAATCCTTCTTCATTTTTGTATTTACTTCACATTTAATCAAATTGAAGTTGCTGAAACCTTTGGTTTCCCATATTCAGTACACAAATTAAAAAATTGTCTTACTTAGTAAACAGTTAATCTTCAAATGAACTAGAGCTAAAAAAGATGAGCTAATTTAATATGTGAGAAATTATCTTATGTGTAATATGTTTTACCTTTATAAGAGGTAAATGAGTAAAACACAAATATTTTTAAAAGCTAGAGATTACCTTTCATTATGTATTCTCTTAAATTCTTTTACTAGTTATAAATAAGTCTGTCTCACATAATAACAAAACATGTATACACTGTCTAAACTTTTTATCTTGCCTCTAGTCATGTCATAATTTGAAACAACTGGGTGAGGTTGGAAGCACAGAAGATTAACCAGTAAATCTGGAAACTAGGATTTGGTAACATAATAGAAATGACATAAAAATCTAAAATATAGAATGGATGGATAAAAACAAGTGAAGTTGGAGTAGATGATATTAAATAATTTTAATCTTTATCCACAACAATATGTAAGATTCAGTGTCAACTTTATGTTATAAATACATTCATTTGTACTATGCCATTTTGGTTTTGGTCATCAAAACTTTATGTAGGAGCCTTATTCACATTTCTTTTTTTAAATTTATTTTATGCTTTAAAATTTTATCCTTGTTGTTGACAATATTGCAGATGTCCTTCTCCTTTTCCCCCCAATGACCCCCCTCCTCCCCTCTCTCACCCCTTCCCCTGTGGGATCAGATTTTCCAGTAGTATATTTTTTTATCACAGCAAAGGTAAGATTATTCACGGGAGATTGAATTACACTTCATTAAGATGAGTTGTAATGTTCAACAAGTAAGAGCAGGAATGCATTTGGAAATATTTCACATAACAGAGCTGTACAAATTTTCCTCGTAATTTTACAAAAGGTTAAGGGGGCCTCCAGGAACTTCACCCTCCTTCAGTTTTTCTCACAGAAGAATGTGAACTGATTTATTCAACTGATAATGTAAATGTACCATTGCAATAAGTAAAGATCTCCTCACTGGTGAAAAACAGATGACACACAAATACATGAAAATATATGACACCTGATTAGTAATTAAGAAAATAAAAATTAAAACAACAAGGAGATACATCTTAATAGATATGCATCTTCCAGTTAGTGCAAATTAAAAGTCTGAAAATACCAAGCATGGTTTAAAATATGTGGAAATGCTCATAAAATGAAGATGAGTGAGTGTTTTGTTACAAGCACTATAGGGGAACAAATCTGATAATACCTAGTATTTTGAAGATTAGATTTCCCTATGGCCTTAGGTAGATACATCCATCAACGTGCCAATAATGTTAGAACCTTAACAAGCCAAATGATGGCAAGTATATTATTATATACTATTGTTCTTAAAAACATAAATTTATACAACTACTCTGGAAGAAAAAGGTAGCAAAGATAAAAATGCAGATACTCTATGATCCAGATGGTTCTATTTTTATATATAGGGTGGGACAAAAGTAGGCTTATAGTTTTTCTTAGGGAAAATAAATAATAATCAATAAGTAATAATACAAGAATTAACTGTGTTTTACATATAACTGTAAACCTACTTTTTTCTATCCTGTATATTTGTTGGGAGAAAAAAAAATCATGGCTTTAGTAAATTAAATAAAAATTGAATTCCCCAAGGTGTTATATAAGGAAAAAAGGACTAATTCAGTTGAAGTCTAGTGAACTTAGTTAACTCTCCCTCAAAGTTATAACTTTCTTACATAACTTTATAGTTGAGTATAAAAGCCAGAGGCAAAAGCAATTTCCAAGATGAATTAACTTGTGATTGAATAACTTAATGCTGTCATGTGTACCTCTAGGTGTCTCAGAGGCCAATGTAGGCTTCCATATCAGAGGATGGCAAGCTCCTACAGCACAGAGTAGGAATGGAACTCATTTTGACTTGAAGCTACTTAGGTTTTGTAGTATTGTTATAGTTGAGCTTATAGGAATTTTACATTGGTAAGTAGAGTGAAAATCAATTTATATTATATTTTCTCCCACCTCCTCTGTGGTTATATCTTCACCTTAGATGTAACAAGCTAAGAGGAAACTAGGAAAGGCTAATTGATTATCTCACCAACCCTCTGACTTTTAAATACAATATGGATAGCTTCTTCAATGGGCCTAAGCATTGATTTTTCTAAATTAATAAACTTTATTCTTTTTTAAAATATATTTTTTATTAATTTCAGAGAAGAAGGGAGAGGGAGAGGTAGAAATATCAATGATGAGAGAGAATCATTGATCAGCTGCCTCCTGCAGGCCCCCTACTGGGGATTGAACCCACAACCCGGGCATGTGCCCTGACCAGGAATTGAACCGGTGACCTCTTGGTTCCTGGGTTGATGCTCAACTGCTGAGCCACACCCGGCTGGGCAGTGAACTTTATCCTTTAGAGCAGTTTTCGGTTAACAGCAAACTGTGAAGAAAGTACAGAGAGTTCCCATTTATCAGCTGTCCCCTACTCATGCACAAACTCGCCCACTATCAACAGCCTGCATCGGAGTGCTGCATTTTTTACAATTGATGAATCTACATTGCCATATCATTAACAATCAACCAAATTCCACAGTTTATAATCAAGGTTTTCTTGGTGCCATATATCTTATGGGTTTGACAAATGTATCCACCATTATAGGATTATACAGAATAACTTCACTGTCCTAAAAATCCCCTGTGCTCTCCCTTTTCATTGCTCTAACTCTTGGCAACTATTGGTCATTTACTGTGTCCATAGTTTTGTCTTTTCCAGAAAGTTGGAATCAGTATGTCAGACTTTTTAGATTAACTTCTTTCATTTAGTTATATGCATTTGTTTCCTCCGTGTCTTCATGGCTTGGTACGATAATTTTATATATATATGGAAAAACAATATGTAATATGAGAGAGAAATAAGGTAAAATAATGCAGTTTACAACTTTTACCCCAAACTGTCTGCACTTTGTCATAGAATCTGCAGTGATAACACCTTAGTTGTTCTTCCTCTCTGCAGTGAAGAATACCTTCCCATCTCTTCTTTTCATCTTTGACATTGCTTCTAAAATTAGCTAGATAAAAAAGGAAGTCAATATTGTCACTAACATGAAGAAAATACTTCAAGTACTTAATGTGATGTACAATGTTCCTAATGATTTGTCTGTTTGCCCTTCACCTAACATTCACAGACATACCATGCTGCCTGTCATCCTTAGGGTATTTGATGGCCCTTCCATATCCATTATGTTTACAATGTGAACTTTGTTTCCTTTATCTACTTAGTGAATTCTTATTTATAAAAATACATTCATTCGCTTAGTCAACTAATATTGAAAACTTATTCTGTGCCAACCATGGTTCTCACTCTGGGACTATTAATATAAAATAAAATAGATAACACAGGGTAGGAAATAAAAACATTAAAATCACAGTGCTGACATTCTAGTGTGGGAAGAAATAACAAAGGTAAAATAGTCACATGATAATATTGTTTAATTTAGAAAGGAAAGTCACTGCACCCTATTAGAGAATATCCGTTGGCATCTGGGGTGATGTCTATATTTGATAGGATGGTTGGGCAAAAGCTTAATTTTAATTGACCTTATGATAAAAAAAAAGACAGCCATGCAGATTTGAGAAACAAGCCATCCAGAAAGAAACATCGAGAGAACAGCAACACATAGATCCTGAGGCAGGAGGGGCTCTAGCTGATACGAGGAACTGGTGGTAGGCTGGTGTGTCTGTGCAGTACCTGAGAGGGAGTGGCAGGGATGAGGCTATGAAGAGAACTAAGAGACAGCCCACAAAACCTTTTGCTTAGTAATAGGGAATTCACGTTTACTCCAAGTGCAGATGGAAGCCTTTGAAGGTTCATAGGGACAGTATTTGCTTAGTTACATGTTAGTGGAAATTCTAATTGCTGGATGAAGAATGGATGGGAAGGGAGGAAACATAGAAGATGAGAAATCAGTTTGAAAGTGATTAAAAGTCATCTAGTCAAGGTATAGAAATGGCTGGAGATAATCTAGTAGCAGGGAAGATA